TTGTTGAGATAGAATTTACATAACATAACATTTACCCTTTTAAAGTGTACAGGTCAGTGTTTTCTAGTATAGTTAGAGCTGTGCAACTATCACCACCGTCTAGTTTTATAACTTCATCCCAAAAAGAAGCCCATACCCATTAGCAATCACTTCCATTACTGTCTTCACTCACCACCCAAACTCCTGGCAAACATGAATGTACTTTCTCTCTGTATGGATTTTCCTGTTCTGGACAGTTCATATAAAAGAAATCATACAATATGTGGTCTTTGTGACTGGCTTCTTTCACTTAAGCGTAATGTTTTCAAGATTCCACATGCTGTAGCATGTATCAGCCCTTTATTTCTTTTTATTGCCAAATAACATTCTATTGTATGGGTATACAACATTTTGTTTAGTCATCAGTTGATGGTTTTTTTTTTTTTTTTTTTTTAACATTTTTGGCTATTACGAATAAGGCTGCTATGAAAATTCATGAATAACATTTTATATGGACATAATGTTTCCATTTCTCTTGAGCGTATACCTGAGAATAAAAAGTGGGACGCGTGTAACTATGTTTAACATTTTCCAGAAATCTTTTTGACTTCTATTACTTTGCTGTCCTCATCACTTATTCTCTGCCTCTTTTTTTACTTCCTCCTTTTCTTCTTTGTCTCAAAATGTGACGTTCCCTAAGTTTGGGCCATAACTCTTCCTCCCTCTTAATTATCTTTATCAGCAATTCATTAGACTCCCTTTTCCTGAGCTATCTCCCTCTTACTTTCAAGAATCTATTGTCGGCTTGATCATTCTCAACCTAGAGCTCTGCATTATTACTGTCTACTAAACAACTCATTCTTGATTATCTTGCCGGCAGGAAAGTAGCGCCATCTCTCTCTAAAGCCTGGATATAGGAGTTATAAAAGTGTTGTATGACATTTTTGTTTTCTCAGTGCATACGAAAGTTATGTTTACACTATAGTGTGTTAAGAATCTAATGGCATTATATCTCAAAAAAATATGTACACACCTTAATTTGAAAATATTGTTAAAAATGCTAATGATCATCTGAGCCTTCAGCAGTTCACAATCTTTTTGCTGGTGGAGGGTCTCGCCTTGATGTTGGTGGTTGCTGACCGGAGTGGTGGTTACTGAAGGCTGAGATGTGGTGGCAGTTTCTTAATATAAGACAATAATGAAGTCTGCTGCATCAGTGGACTCTCCTCTCACAAAAGGTTTCTCTGTAGCATGTGATGCTGTTTGGTAGCATTTTACATTCAGTAGAACTTTATTTAAAATTGAAGTCCATGTTATCCATTCCTGCTGCTGCTGCTTTATCAACAAAGTTTATGTAATATTTGATATCTTTTGTCATTTCCACAATGTTCATATAGCATCTTCACCAGGAATAGATTCCACATCAAGAAGCCACTTTCTTTGCTTATCCCTAAGAAAGCAGCTCCTCATTATGTCAAGTTTGATTGTGAGATTGCAGCAATTCAGTTACATCTTCAGGGTCCACTTCTAATTCTAGTTTTCTTGCTATTTCCACCACGTGTGAAGTGGCTTTCTCCACCAAAGTATTGAATCTCTCAAAGTCATCCATGAGAGTTGAAATCAGCCTCCTCCAAACTCTGGTTAATGTTGACATTTTGCCCTCCTCCCATGAATTATGAATGTTATTAATAGCATCTGGAATGGTAAATCCTTTTCCAAAAATTTTCAACATACTTTGCCCAGATCCTCAGAGAAATCACCATCTATGGTAGCTATAGCCTTACAAAATGTATTAAAAAATAAGACTTGAAAGTCAAAATTACTCCATGACCCATGGTATACAGAATGGATGTTGTGTTACTAGGCATGAAAACAGTATTAATCTTGTACACCTCCATCAGAGCTCTTGAATGACAGGTGCATTGTCAATGAGCACTAATATTTTGTAAGGAATCTTTTTTTCTGAGCAGTAGGTCTCCACGGTGAGCTTAAAATATTCAGTAAGCCATGCTGTAAACATATGTGCCATCATGCAAGCTTTGTCGTTTCATTGATAGAGCACAGGCAGTGGACTCTCCTGTCACAAAAGGTTTATCTGTAGCATGTGATGCTACATAATCTAGCATAATTCTTAAGAACCCAGGGATTTTCAAAATGGCAAATGAGCCTTGACTTCAACTTAGAGTCACCAGCTGCATTCCCCTCTGATAAAATGAGTCAGGCTGTCTTTTGAATCTTTGAAGCCAGGCATTGACTTCTCCTCTCTAGCTATGAAAGTCCTAAATGAAATGGCATCTTCTTCCATGAGAAAGCTATTTTGTTTACATTGACAATCTGCTGTTTATTGTAGCCACCTTCATTATGATCTTAACTAGATCTTCTGGATAACTTGCTGCCGCTTCTATATCAGCAATTGCTGTTTCATCTTGTACTTTTATGTTAGGAAGATGGCTTCTTTCCTTAACCCTCACAAACCAGCCTTTGCTGTCTTCAAACTTTTCTTTTGCAGCTTCCTCACCTCTCTCAGCTTTCACGGAATTGAAGAGAGTTAGGACCTTGCTCAGGATTACACTTTGGCTTAAGGGAATGTTGTGGCTGGTTTAATCACTCAAACTTTCTCCATATCAGCAAAAAGTTGTTTTGCTTCCTTATCATTTGTGTGTTCACTGGAGTCACACTTTTAATTTCCTTCAAAAACTCTTCCTTTGCATTCACCACTTTGCTAACTGGCCCAAGAGGGCCACCTTTCAGCCTTTCTCAGCTTTCAACATGTCTTTTCAATAAGCTTAATTATTTCTAGCTTTTGATTTAAAGTAAGAGACATGCGACTCTTCCTTTTACTTGAACTCTTAGAGGTCATTGTAGGGTTATTTATTGGCCTAATTTCAATACCATTGTGTCTCAGGGAATAGGGAGGCCCCAGGAGAGGGAGAGAGGGGAATAGCCACTTGGTGGAGCAGTCAGAACACACACATCATTTATTGATTAAGTTTGTTACCTTATAGGTGTGGTTCGTGATGTTCTAAAACAATTACAATAGTGATATCAAAGATCATTGGTCACAGATTACCATAACAAATATAATTTAATTTTGAAATATTGCTGAGAGTTACCAGAATGTAACACAGTGACCAGAAGTGTGCCCATGCTGTTGGAAAAATGGTGCCAATAGACTTGCCCAACTCAGGGTTGCCACAAATTTTCAATTTGTAAGAAATGCAGTGTCTGAGAAGCACAATAAAATGAAATGCAATACAATGAGGTATCCATGTATTCTTAAATTCTTGACTTGGTTTACTGTTGTGCGGGCTTTTCTTGTTGTTTTTACTCAAAAGAATATAGGCAATGTATACGTGTTGAAAATCATTCTTTCTTTTAAATGTTACATTTACATTACACATTTAAATGTTAGGCTAAAGAAATAATACTTGCTTTAGAGAAATTCAAGCATATCTCTACTTTAAATCTGTAATAATGAATGTGGTTATTAGAGGAAAGCATTTCTCCTATCACCTTCAGTGCTTGCACTAACTAACCTTTTGTAATTGATTTCTTTAAATAATAAAGATGTATGTGAAGGCTTGGAATCCCTATCTCTTCTGGGAGAGAAATAGATTGTATAACACCAGCTCAATGTTCTCTAAGCTTGCTTTGCAAGGAGCTATATGTCACTATATGTTAGATGTAGTAATAAAGGATATGAAAAAAACTTGAATGATCATGCGTTGAACTTGATGTTCACAGTAGATAAGTAGATCTTATGTCTGATTAGAGAAGTGGTACAAATCGGTGACTGGAGAATCTGAGAGTCACTTGCAAGAGATGACTTTTGTTTCCAGACCTTGAACAGCTTAACATGGAAACAGGCACAGGATTTTCCTTGATGGTCTTAATATTTTCACTTAATGAATTTATATTTCATCCAACCTGTATGAGAAGGTGACACTGATCAGCTTCCATGTGTTTTGAAAATGGAAGCAGTTCATGTAGAAAGACTCAACGTAAATATGCTACTGGAGAGGGAGGTTACCTTTAGAACTATTCGTAAGAGTTGTAATATCTTTTTTTCTAGCTAACTCTATCTTATAAATGAAAGATGTGAATTTTTATTGATATTTGGTAAAAAAATGACAATAAATGACGATCAAGTAAAATCGTGACACAGTTAAAGGAATGTTTGAAATTAACTCTAAAGTTTCTTGAGCATGGATTGTAATGGTCAAGAAAGGGATGTAATTAGAACTATGGTGTGTTAAGAGACAAGCAGTTGGGACAGAAGGAGATCACTTGCCAGGGCAATCTTGCAGTCATATTCAAGGCCACATGAGTATATTCATTAGCCAAGTAGCTTGATCTCTGGTTGCATTAAGATATGATTCCGCTGGGTGCAGTAGCTCATGCCTGTAATCCCAACACTTTGGAAGGGTGAGGCAAGAGGATTGCTTGAGCCCAGGAATTCAAAGCTTCAGTGAACTGTGATGGCACCACTGTAGTCTATCCAGGGCAACAGAGTGAGACCCTATCTCTAAAAAAAGGGAACTTTAAAAAAGGAGGTAATTATATCATTTGTTCATTATTTGGGGGACCTAGTTCTAATAAGCATATTTGACATATAAAAATATCATATTTGTAATGATGCAGAATTATTTAAAACAAGATTTTGCTTGCTCTGTGAAGCATGAGGTATCCTATTATGCTTTACATAAAGAATGAATAGGTAATCTTGTAAGTATAGGGAATAAACGTTTTATTTGTTTTTCTAAATCTATAATCCTGTCAAACTACTTGTGTTCAAGAATGCTTAGGAATTCTGATGACATAATTCATCATGAAAGTTTGCATTTACTTTTTGTGTGTGGGGAAAAGAGAACTTTGAAACTTAGCTAAATTGTTGGCCTTTTTAGAGGGATGATGAGGAGGGACAGGATTAAGTACTTAAATTATGAGGAACTAATGTAAGTAATTATTAGGTACTGCTTTTCACATTAAGTCATACTTGTTTTCTGATTCTATTTTTTCAGTTTCCATAGCAAGGCGTGTACAAGATCCATTAGCTGAGCTAGTGAAAATTGAGCCGAAGCACATTGGAGTTGGAATGTATCAGGTAAAGCAATGTGGATCATTTAATTTATGAAGTCCATCAATACAAGGAGCAGTACTCAAACCTGGCATAGTAATTAAGTGTCTATGGGAGTAGATTCCCATTTTCAAGGTTATACAGTTTGTGGGAAGTAGGAGTTTTAAGTCATCAGGGAAGGAGGGAATTATTTTTGTCATCGTTGTTCTGGTGTTAATGATTTTGATTAAGACTTAGAATTGACTGTGGTCAGATTTAAAGACTATGAAAACACTGGATGAAACTAATAACTAATTTGGAGAGAGAGCCTCTTCTTTTAACATTATTATAAAAGTGGAGGTGCTACAGGGACATGTTGGCTCTTTGTGTAAACCGGTATGAACTATTGATCTTTATTGACCTTTCAAGGAAATGTTTTTGGTACCTTCTCTGTCTTGTTTTTTTCCTGTATTTCCCATTCCTACTTGATTATTATAGTTCGTTTTTGGTCGTTACCCAAAATAGTCTAAAACCATTCCGTTGATTAAGTTTGTTACCTTACATGGGTGCAGTTCGTGGCATTCTAAAATAATTACAATAGTGATATCGTGCATTGATCTTGATGTTCACAGTAGTAAGTAGATCTTATGTGTGATTAGAGAAGTGGTAGGTAATAGTAGTACTCATTTTTGTTGTTACTGTATTTTTAATTCTTGAGGTTGTATGTGTTCATTGGACAATTCAAGACAGCACTAAACGTTGGCAGAGTGAATTTATGGTGATAGCAAAATGGTACGTGGGGCTTAAGTTGTCTCCAGAAGGTTTGGGTCAAATTGTTTTCCTCTTTGTCAAAAGCTGTTAATTGTGAAATAGAGTATTTCCTTCTGTATAATTTTTATGGGATTTGAATGATAGGTACTATACTACACTTTTTCTAAAGAAATATATCATATCATGGATTTTGTGACTACTAGATATGGAAGACACCTTAGAATTCGTGTAACCCTACCCTCCTCATTTGATAGAAAAAGAGTCTGTGTCCTGGAGTACTTAAGACATTTACCCAAGATCACATGGTAGCAAAGCTTGGATTAACCTGTCATATATTGAGATTCAACTGGGAATATTTCCATTTTATAGCAAGTTGGACTAAGGCATTCAGACTTTTAACTGGACTTACTCATTTCAGAAAGATAGTTGGTAAAGGGACTGATCTAGCTACAGGTAGATAGAAATGACTGTTATCTAAAGAGTACAACTGGCTACATGCAGTGGCTCATGCCTATAATCCTAGCACTTTGGGAGGCCAAGGCAGGTGGATCACTGGAGGTCAAGAGTTTGAGACCAGCCTGGCCAACATAACGAAACTCTATCTCTACTAAAAATACAAACATTAGCCAGGTATGGTGGCGTTTACCTGTAGTCCCAGCTACATGGAAGGCTGAGGCAGGAGAATCACTTGAACCCAGGACGCAGAGGTTGCAGTGAGCCAAGATTGCGCCACAGGACTCTAGCCTGGTGACAGAGCGAGACTCCATCTTGAAAAAGAAAAAGTACAACTATAACAGTTTTGTGATACAGGTGTTATAATGAAGAGGAATTATATTCATTCAAGATAAAGTTATGGAGCATCTTGGCAAGGTAGTGGAATAAAGAGAAGCTTCCAAATTTATGAAACCTGGGCAGGCTAATAAGCTACTGACTTCAAAGAGATCTTTAAATAAATAGTGGAGACTTAACCTCCAGATTGGGATTCAGAGATAACATTTAATGTGAAAGACTTCGGAATTCATTTTAACAGCAGTGAGAAGTAATAGAAGAGTTTTAAGCAAGGGGAGGTGACATAATCTGATTTATATTTTTAAGCATTGGCTCTGGCTGATCTGGGAAGAGTGACTTAGGAAGAAGAGAAGCAATAGGAACAACTAGGAGGTTCTTGTACTGGCCCAGGTGACAAATAATAGTGCTTGGACAAAGTTAATGGCAGTGAAGATGGAAAGAAGTCAAGTCTATTTTGTCAGGTCTATGTGGTAATAAGTGAGGGAAAAGGAATTATGAAGAATTTGCTCCAAGGGTTCTGATATATAGATGATGCTTGAGTAGAGCAGGTTTGGTGGATTAAAATCAGTAATTCAGTTTTAGACATGTTAAGCTTGAGATGCCTTTAAGAAATTCAAGGAAAGATGTCAAATAGGAGTTGGATATACGAGTCTGACATTTAAAAAAATAGCTGTATTAGCATTGGACTACTCACTGTTCAGCAAATAATGAAACTAAGAACGTGATCAAGATGGTAGGCTGAATTAATGCTTTTCTTTAATTACACTACCATCATCAGCTGCATATTCCCAACTCCTAATTCCATGCATTGACAGAAAAGGTGTACATGTGTACCTATATAAATATATATTTATTCGAATAAATTGATAACGGCATGGGAAAACAAGAAAGGGTCCCTCCCATTAGTGGATGGAAATCTCAGGAATTCCTTACAGATACTAAGCATGAGGAATCACACCCACGGAGAAATAAAACCTGGTGGAGTCACAGTTCAAAACATATACAGATCATTGTGTATCAGTGTGTTCTGGAGGTAGGTGCAGTTCCAGGTAGAGCCAAACTAGTCAGATTCAAATAGTGGGGAGAAGGTCTGAAGTATTAGATAAGGAGATACATATAGAGAAGCTAGGCCTGTAGTAACCTCCTCTGCCAATATACTCTGAATCCAAGCTAAAGCAATGACCTTAACATAGGCCAGAGAGGCTGGGAGATACCTCAAGATACCTTCGATTGTCAGGAAGCTCAAGGAGCCTCTTCCTGAGAAGACAAATTCCTGCCATGTACATGACACCTGGCATGATGTCCCACATTTCTCACGTTATCACTGGAGGTGAGGAATAGTAAACAGAAACAGCATACATAGACAGACAGTTAGGGACTCTGAAATGATCTCACTACCAAGAATGATTAAACATTTGAGGAAAACCTATGGTAGACAAATGAGGCACCAAACTTAATAAACAAAAGGCAATACCCAGTGAGACAATGAATAGGTAAGAGAGACTTTGAAATAAGTGAAAGTAAGATTCACAGAGAGAAAAGAGAGATTATTGCATTTATAAAGAACATATGTATTAAAATGAATGCAAACCTATCAAATATCTTAGAATTTAAGAATGTAATTACCAGGATTAAAATGCCTAATTGGACTAAATAGAGTGGACACAGTTAAAAGCAAATTAATGAATTGTAAGATTGAGTTCCTTCAGAATACAGTTTTGAACTGAAAACGGTGGAAAGCATGAACAAAAGTCACATGATATAGAAGACATTCTAAACCTTCAGTGTTCATCTGATGTAAAATTGAAGTAGTATGGAGTTATAATCACAGAAGTAATAGAAGGAAATTTTCCCAAACTGAAGACAGACAAGTCTTCTGAAAACACCTTATGAGGGCAGAAGTAAAGAATAACAAAAGGCCTACACTAAATGCTTGCTTATGAAATTTCAGAATACGTGATAAAGAGGAACTGACAAAGTATTCAGAGAGCAAACATAGTTTATCTGCAAAGGAAAGAATGAGATTGACATCAGGCCTATTATTGATAAAAAATAAATGATAGAAGATAGAATGCAGTAATTGTGAAGTTGTGGGAAAAAAACATTTTGAACTTATAATTCTAAATGAGGCAAACCATCAATTCAGTGTGAGTGGAAAATAAAAACAATTTTGAACCTTCTCTGATTGTTTCACACCTTCTTTGAAAGAATTTATAGAAGTACTCCCTTCCCAAAAGCAGGGGAGTGTCCAAAGAAGGGAAAGACATGACATGGGAAACATGTACACACGGTAAAATGTATAGTTGAGCCTGATACTTTTTAAAATCTATAATGTTAATCTTTAAATATTTAAGTCTGGATCAGATCAGTTCAACATGAGAGAGTGGAAGAAAAAGAAATGATAAAAAGTATTAAGATTCTTTTTCAGGAAAAAGATTCAGATATAAATTAACTCTAGAATTTGATTAAAAATGTAACCTGAAACATATGAAGAACAACCACAAATAAGATAGTTAATATAAATCATGAGAGTAAAATGTAAAAAGTTTATAATTTCATCCAAAGGTAGAGAAGAGAAAATAAGAAAGTATAGGAAATAAACAATAAAATATAAGGAGATAGGAATAAGTAATAGGTATTTAAAAGTGAATGGGCTAACTTCTCCTATTAATAGAATTTCAGACTTTACAAAATAAAGCACAGCTTTAAGTTATATATGTGCAAGAGACACTCCTAAAGAAAAAAACAGCCTTGATATTAAAGGTTTGGATTAAAATGTTCCACTTAAATGAAAAAGACAGCCATAGTGGTATTGACATTAGACAAAATAGAACTTAAGGCAAAATCATTAAATAGGAAAAAGAAAGATATTTCATATTAATAATAGTCTTCCAAGAAAATATAAGTGCCCTGAGCAATCTGTTACCTAACAGCATAGCTTCAAGAAATATGCATATTACTAACTTTTCTAAAAATTAGATGAGACAAATTCACTGTTTTTGCAGGAGTCTTAGTAGACCATACCATATTAATATATACATTTTAAAAACAGCTTGAAGCTAGGCATGGTGACACACACCTGGCCTTAGCTACTTAAGATGCTGAGGCAGGCGATCATTTGAGCCCAGGAGTTTAAGGCGATAGTGAGCAATGATCATGCCTGTGCATAACCACTGCACTCCAGCCTGGATGACATAGTGAGACATTCATCTCTTAAAAAGACGAAGAAACCCAGCTTTATTGATATGTGCATAATTGCACGTATACAATTCATTCATTTAAAATGTACAAGTCAATGATTTTTTTAGTATAGTCATAGAGTTGTGAAAATAGAACATTTTCATCACCCCAAAAAGAAACTCATTCATTAGCAGTCATTCTCCATTGTCCTTTCTTTGCCAGCCCTAGACAACACTAATCTATTTTCCTCTAGATACTTCATATACATGAAATCATACAATAAGTGAGTTTTTATGATTGACTTCTTT